GGGGGGGGGGGGCGGAGGGGCGAGTACTCGACTGCATCGGACACTCGCGACACGCAGCCGGTTTGTTAAAAATTTCATCGGATAAACGCGCGCTCTGATTAATTCCCCCGGCTAAAGTTCCAACGTGGACGGCGCGCCTGCAGCGTTTTTTCCCCCCGGTAACTGTTCAGCTGTGGCACGAGTTACTTGGCTTGTAAAGGGGCTCTGTCGCAACTTCACGCAGACAGATAGGCTCTTTCCCGTTCCATCGGCCGGCGATAACGCAGTGTCTCGTGTGCGCCCCTTCCAGTCGGAATCCTCCGCGACATCGGACATGACACTTGGCACCCTGCGGGTAGACGGATGCGCCGGAAGGGTGACCCGGACATCTGATCTGCTCGATTAGTCGCAGAAAACGCGCGGTGAATAACACGCTCCAGGCGAAAGCGGCGCGCCGCGCTTTTTTTTCCCCTCGCCATTTCACTTTTAATCCGCTCGTCGATCGAATTTTGTTTTCAAAAGCGGGACGGGCACACACCGCGCCGAATATACTTCTCGCTTTTTCAACCATGTATTTATCCGATATTAAAAATAACACGAGTGAATCCGGTCGAAATTACATTATGGAACGTGCGCAGCGGAGGGGGAAACGTATATCAAAATACACGTATCGTTTAAACGCGAAACGTAATGCAGTGTGTGCAATGTGAAAATGTATAACCAACTGGGTTTCGAATTTCTTCGAGTGACGATGACGTTTCAGGTTACCGAGCAAGCGCGCCAAATAATTTTGAACAATTATTTCCCGTTTTCAGAGAACAATTATTTTGTAATAATCAATATATATATATATATATATATATATATATATATATATATAAGGTGAAAATATCAATTTCCGAACACGTGCCTGATCCTGAATACTCTCATTGTATTGGCCTTTAAATACGAGTATTTAAACTTTCAGCATAAAATACACGTACACTGAGAGAGAAAGATATCTATTATATTATTATTTCTATTATCATTTCTCACTATTATTCTATATTACCTTATTCTATAAATAAAAGAATTTAGTTTCAAACAAATATGTATGTGTGTGTGTGTCATTAGTGCTCTCCATCTTTCAGAACTTTTCCTCTCTCAGTATATTGAATATATATTTCATGTTGAAAGTCTAAGTATCCGTAAACTTGAGGGACCAAAGCAATAAGAATGTCCACACGCAAAAAAAGAACTAGCTTTCAGAGCTAAAAAATAGCTGTGGCAGATAAGATGCGTCACTGAAATAGGGACAGCTAATGTCGATACTACCGACGCTAAACTTATTCGCTGTTAAACATAGGCGCTACATCGAGAAATATTAGCTGCTAGAAATAAATGACTGTAACAAATAATTGTAGCTGTATGGCAAACTTCTTTAACCCTCCGAGAACACACTGGGTCAATTTGACCCTTATCTCAACGTTGATCATGAATATGTTGAAGGCATTTTGAAAATTGGCGGGATTGACGCCCTCTATCTATAGTTTTTTTTCTTGTAAATTACAATTTTTACAAAAAAAAATTTTGTTTGAGAATTTTTTTAGATATGTTAATAATTATAACGACATTTTTAATTTATTTTACGTGATTTTTCTATATTTCAGGTATATCTAGAAATTTTTTTAAGCTAATCGCACACACACGTCGTTTTAAAATGGCGGACTCTCAAAGTTAGCGTAGGGTCAGATTGACCCAGAGTGTACTCTATGCTTGAAAAAATAGGTGTGTTCTCGGAGGGTTAATATATGCATATGATAAGAAATTTAAGAATAACTGCCATTTTCTTAGCTACTTGAAATAATGTGCATTTTTAATGTCACCTAATATATTTGTATTTCATAGCGAATGCATCTTAACTGTCATAGCCAATTCTTAGCAGTGACAGCTAAACGATTAGCCTTTTGACTAAGTTTGAATCAGCTACCGCGGTTTAGCTGATATTACTAAATCATTTTTTGCGTGCAGAATCGAGTGCGTGCAACTTTTGCCCTACATCGTCTTTTGCAAGTTTCGGGCAATTAGTGTAGCCTACGGTATCTAAGCGGTATCTGGGCTCTCACACCTCTCCGTGCAACGGCGGCTCCATGGCGCGACACCTCGACGTCGGCGAGACGCAAGTTCTCTCGTCGGGTGCCAACACTAAATCCTCACCACAGAGGCAGTAGTAGCTTCCGGCGGTGTTGATGCACTCGCCGCTGCAACCCCCGTTCCGGCTCAGACATTCGTTCATGTCGTGACACAGCCTCCTGCTTATGCGGCCGGCAGAGCCCGCACGAGAACACCATCGGAGAAACGTATCAGAGTATAAGGACATCGCACATCGTTCGCGTTTACGACGCACGTTGCGTTCGCCGCGAGCACGCGTCGCGAGCATTATTGGGCTCTTACCTGGACTTCAACACGTATCCGGCGCGGCAGGCGCAGCTAAAGGACCCCACAGTATTGATGCACTCCTGATCGCAACCGCCGCGACGCCACTCGCACTCATTGATGTCTGGCCATGTCAAAGTTCTCGTGATTAATATTGCAAAGAAAGAGGAACAAAGTGGGAGGTGAGCGCGCGACGATCTGTCTCGAGAATACTACCCGGCCGGGGTCTATCCATAAGTTTTCGATGTACTCTCGAGGAACTCGAGGAATAATTTAGAGCCAGCGCACTGGCGTGTGTGCGCGTGTACGTGTGAGAATTCTATAATGGGCTTTGTTAGTGCGCGCATTGACTTGCCTATGCATTCGTTGCCACGCGAGCGGAATCCTCGAGGACACGTGCAATAATAGAAGCCGGATGTATTGACGCATCTTTCCCTGCAAGGTGTACTCTCGACGCATTCGTCGATGTCTGCGCAGAGGGCAAGCAAGCACACAGTTCAGTTACGATTAAGCGACATCGATTTTTCGCGGAAGCGTCTCTCGTACGAGAGAACCTACACACAGGTAGACGGCTGTGGAATCGATATCGCGCCCTCGCACTCGCAAAGGTAACCGCCCGGCGCATTTGTTGCTTTTGCAGACGCCGGCTGCGCGCATTCGTCGACGTCGTCTAAAAAGGGTACACACGTTGCTCGCGAAAACTTCCGCGCGCTAAGCGCCTCCAACTTCGCGAGCAAGCACCGGAACTGGGACACGAGCGGCAAAATCAGCGTGGAGAAGCGAGCGTTGTACGGCGCGAGCATGGCGGGCGCAAGAAGTCGCGCTGTGTCCTTTGAATTTCTCGAGAACACTCCGCCGATATCGCCCCACGACGACCGAGTCTGGTTATTAAAGTCCAACGAGGAGCAACGCGCGAGGACGAGTCGCGAACGCGAATCGTAACGGTGAATCGAAGCGTTTCTCTTTTCTCAGTACACATCCGCGCTTCTATGAATTCTTCGCAGATGTCCTGAATTCTTATCCCGCAAGAGAAGAATTTGCATTTCGCTGCTCGCGAGATATGGTACGATCGATATGCGGGCGACTCCGCGCTCGGCGATCGAGGTTAATTTATGAATTAACCCTTAGTGGCCTTACATGGGTATTTCGAGTCTGAACGATTTCTATTTATAGAAATTTCTCTCAACCCGTTGAAGACCCGGATATACTACATTTTAGTTTCTTGCACAATGAAGTACAGGTATTTGTTCTAGAAACTTGAAAGTATATCCGTGAATTTTTAAAGATTTTTCGAACCACTTTAAAGATATGATAAGAGGACCGGACTCGAAAGACCCATGTAGGGCCACATGTGGTGCCGTTTTTCACACAAGCCACTAAGGGTTAACAATGGCGGCTTCAACTTTCTTACTCACCGACACAGGTGGAATTCACCATCCGAAAGCCGTCCCTGCACCTGCACTCGTACGAGCCGGGCTTGTTGACGCAAATGTGCTCGCAGTTGTGCTGCCCCTCGCACTCGTCTATGTCGCGGCACCTGAACCCGTCGACCTCGTCTCTGCGGAAGCCCACGTTGCACGAGCACACCGCGGTGCCGTTCACCGCGTCGCAAATCTGCTCGCAGTCACCGTTGCGACGTCGACAGGGATCGGGAGCTCGGCAGGTCCCGTTCCACATCTCGTGGCCCTCCGGGCACTCGCAGCGGAAGGAGCCCAGCGTGTTGACGCACGTGTGGTCGCCGCAGCCGCCGTTGCTGACCTCGCACTCGTCGATGTCGTCGCAGTCCTTGCGATTCGACGCCAATCGGTAGCCCGGCGAGCACTCGCAACGGTAGTCGCCCTCGAGGTTCACGCAACCGTCGGCACAGCCGCCGTTCGCGAACGCGCACTCGTTCACGTCCAGGCAGTTCCTCGAGTCGTTCCCGAGGTGATATCCGGCGGGGCACCGGCACTCGAAGGTGCCCTTGAGGTTCACGCACACGTCGGAGCAGCCGCCGTTCTCTGTCGCGCACTCGTCGACGTCCTCGCACACCTTGCCATCGCCGCCGAGTCGCAAACCCACAGGACAGCTGCACCGAACGCTCGTCGCGATGTGAAAGCAGGCGTGCGAACATCCGCCATTGTCCAGCTAGACGAGAGACATTTTCATTAAACGACTCTTGATCAAAGTTCTCAAGTACGAGTTCAAAGTTTCAACATTCGGAAGTCGTTAGAGGGACGAGACGAGACGTCCTTTGGGAAGAAATAAGGAAAAAGGAACAAGATTTTTACAACTCCCTCCAAAATTATTATCCAAGATTGGGTAAGATGAAATCTCAAGCTAAAATAGGTATAATAAAGTACACTGAAGAAAAGTGTCTGCTATTTGTAATTATAATCACATAGAAAAGTAATTACTGTAAGTGACGGTCGAGAAAGCTAGCTTTTTATTAAATTCTACTATAAGTTGGCGATAATAATCTTATATGCATATTACTACTACTATTTCTGTGTCAAAATAATACAAAAATATGATTAAACCCAAAAATAATTATAATAAACACAGTTAGGCAAGAATAATCCAACTCACAAAATTATGATTTTTTAATTTTTTTCACTAATGTGTAAAGTCCTGATGTTTTCTGTATGAAAAAAAAAAATCCAAGCCTTATGGGGGCGTCTAAAATTAATTAAAGAACAGTTTTTACTTTCTACTAGTTGCGCCATTTTTTTATCAATTATGTTAAGTTCTTGTCAATAAATACCCTTAAATTTCCATTTTTTTTCTCGAAACGATTTCATAAGGATTGTATCTTTCCTACACAACTGCAATTTTGATTGGTTCAATAATTTCTTTCTTTCCGAATGTACTATTGAATTTGTTCATGTAGCAGATATCTATTACTCGTGATTTCTGAATAAATGAATTGTTCAATTAATACTCACTTGACACTGGTCCGCCTCGACACAGCTGTGCGAGTCGTTCGAAGGCACTCGTCCTTCCGGGCAAACGCACTCCCAAGAGCCCAAGGTGTTGACGCACTCGAAGGTGAGCGCGCAGTCGGCCACGCCGGTTTTGCACTCGTCCGTGTCAACGCAGGTCTTCTCGTCCTGCGTCAGCTCGTAGCCGACCGGACAGGAGCAGAAGTGGCCGCCGATGGTGTTGGTGCAGACGTGGGAACAGCCGCCGTTCCTCTCCTTACACTCGTCGATGTCCAGGCAGGTGGACTTGTCGGAGTGCAGATAGTGGCCCTCGTAGCAGGCGCAAACGTAGCTGCCCAGCAGGTTCACGCAGTCGTGGGTGCAATTGTGGCGACTGGTCAGACATTCGTTCACGTCCACGCAGTTCTTCTTGTCGTCCGGCATGAGGATGTAGCCGGCCGGGCACTCGCAGTAATAGCCGCCCTCGGTGTTGACGCACGTGTGCGAGCAGCCGGAGTCGATGTCATTTTGGAACTCGTCGCACTCGTCGATGTCCTCGCAGGTTCTGCGATCCGGCTTGAGGCGGAAGCCGAGCGGGCAGGAGCAACGAGTGACCGGGTTTCCGTCCGTGCTTTCTTCCTGGTGACAGTGATGAGAGCAATTCCCATTGTCACGCTTGCAACCGTCCACCAGGACGCAGGTCCTGTTGCTGTCCCGCTTCAGCGCATACCCAGCCGGACACAGACATCGGAAGGAGCCCACCAGATTCAAGCAGGTGTGCGAGCATCCCGCCTTCTCGATCTCGCACTCATCGATGTCGTCGCAGAGAGTCGAGTCTTCCGAATTCTTCCGGAAACCGACGTTGCAGTCGCACTCGAAACCGCCGGCGGTATTGAGGCACTGATGGGTGCAGTTGTCCAGCAGTTCCAGGCACTCGTCCACGTCCATGCAGGTGGCGTTATCCTGCCGTGACAGTCGGTAGCCGGAGGGACAGTCGCAGTAGGCCGAGTCGCCGGTGAAGACGCAGATGTCCGAGCAGCCGCCGTTCTGGACGAGACAGTCGTTCTCGTGAACGCAGAAAGTGTCGTCGTCCTGCGACAGGGACATTCCTGGGGGGCACGAGCACGTCACGTTGCCATTCTCGTTGTGACACACGTGGGAACAGCCGCCGTTTTTGATCGCGCATTTATCCTCGTGAACGCAGAAACTCGGGTCCTCCGTCAATGTCATGCCGGGTGGACAGGCGCAAGTCACGTTTCCGTCCTCGTGATAGCACAAGTGTGAGCAACCGCCGTTGTCCTTCAGACATTTGTTCTCGTGTATGCACACGGTTTTGTTCTCCAAAATCATGTCGGACGGGCAGGAACAGGATGCTCGGCCGTCCTCGTGATGACAGAAGTGCGAGCATCCCCCGTTGTCGATGGAGCACGCGTTTATCTCGACGCACGTCCTGTTGTCGTCCGTCAACAGCTTGTAGTTGTCAGGGCACGCGCACTCAACGCCTCCCTCCGTGTTCGCGCAGAGGTGAGAACATCCTCCATTATCCAGGATACACTCGTTGACATCCTCGCAAGTCCTATTGTCACTCGAGAGAGCGTATCCCAAGGGACACCGGCAATGAGGGCCGTCAGACTTGCCGACACATTCGTGGGAGCAGCCGTGGTCCTCGCTGCAAGGATCGATCTTCTCGCAGGTCGCACCGTCCGCCGCCAGCTCGAAGCTGTGGGGGCAATCGCAGACAACTGAGTCGCCCGTGAAGATACAAGTGTCCGAGCATCCGCCATTCTCAACGAAACACTGATTCCGGCGGACGCAGGTCCTGCCGTCGTCCAACAGTTCGTGTCCTTGCGGACACGTACAACTAAAAGTGCCGTTCGCGTTGAGGCAGCCGTGAGAGCAGCCGGCGTCCTTCGACGAGCACTCGTTGGCGTCCTCGCAAGTCTTGCGATTGTCACTCAGTTGGTATCCCGCAGGACACTCGCAATAATAAGCGCCTTCGACGTTCACACACGCGTGACTGCACGCGTGAGAGCCCTCGAAGCATTCATCTACGTCCTGGCAGGTCTTCTCGTCATCCTGCAGCTGATATCCTTCTGGACAGCCGCAGCGAATCTGAGCGTTGTCCTGCTCGCACGTGTGCGAGCAGCCGTGATCCTTGGCGCAAGGATCCATCGGTAATTCGCAGGTCCTAGCGTCATCCTGAAGCCGCCAGCCGGCAGGACATTCGCAATAGTAAGAGCCATTGCTATTGATGCAGTCGTGAGAGCAGTTGTGTCTATGTCCATCCTGACACTCATCGATATCTTTACAGGCGTGTTCCTCCTGCGAGTAAACATATCCTGCGGGACAGGTACAATTGTTATTTTCTCGCGACCAAAGACATTCGTCCTGAACGATGATGCATGTACGATTATCCTCCCCGAGGCGGAATCCCGTCGGGCAGGAACACAGATAAGATCCTTCGAGGTTCTTGCAGTCGTGACTGCAATCATTCGTCGCTTTATCGTCGCATTCGTCCTTGTCCTTGCAAGTGCTACCATCTTCATCCAAGAAATAACCCGAAGGACACTCGCACCTATAGCTCGAGCCCATCGAGGCGCACGAATGCGAGCAGGACGAATTGGCGCAAGGATCGACTACTCTCGCGCAGGTGAGACCGTCGTTCTCCAGGAGCCAACCGGGAGGACACGCGCAACGGTAGGTCGCGTGAGTATTGATGCACTGATGCGAGCATTCGTGATTATCCTCGTAACACTCGTCAATATCCTGACATTGACCACTGTCGTCCGAGCGAAGCCCGTGAGGACATAATTTCTCGCAGGTGAAGCCGTCCCCCAGAAGACTCATGTCCTGCGGACAGGCGCACTCGAAGCTTCCGGGAACGTTAATGCAGTCGTGCGAGCAAGCGTGTTCGTCCTCGAGACACTCGTTGAAATCTTGGCAGGTCTTTCCGTCCTCCTGCAGAACGTAACCGTCCCGACAGATGCATCTGTACGTGTCCTGAACTTCTTCGCAACTATGACTGCAATTGGCGAGTTTGCACACATTGGAGACCACACAGTTCCTCCCGGTGTCGTCCAAGGACATGTCATCAGGACACCCGCATTCGTAGGATCCCGGCAGATTCACGCAGCCGTGGGAGCACCGGTGCGTGCCACGCGCGCACTCATCCACCTCCTCGCACGTCCTCCCGTCCTCCCCGATCTCATGGCCCGGCGGACATTTGCAGCTGTAGGCGCCTTCCTCGTTCACGCACTCGTGCGAGCACCCGTGCGACTTCTCTTCGCACTCGTCTATGTCGACGCACGTGTGCTCGTCCTGTCGGACACGATGTCCCGTCGGACAGGTGCACCGGTATCCTCCGTCGTGATTCTCGCAGCCGTGCGAACAGGCATGTCGAATGTGCGAGCACGCGCTCACGGCGGTGCAGGATTTATTGTCGACGTCCAGGACGAATCCTGGGAGACAGGTGCACTCGTAGCCGCCGTGTAGATTCGTGCACAGCTGTTGGCAGCCGCTGACGCCTCTCTCGCACTCGTTCACGTCGGCGCAGTCGAACTTGGAGCTCCCGGTGATCTCTAAGCCGTCCGGACACGTGCAAACGAAGCCGCCGTCCAGGTTGACGCAGGAGTGCGAGCAGGGATCTCGAGCGCACTCGTCGACATCCGTGCAAGTCACTCGGTCATTCGACAGCTCGTATCCGCTCGGGCAGACGCATCGCGGCCCGTCCTCGGTGTCCTCGCATCGATGCGAGCAAGGATCCCTCAAGGAGGCGCAGCTCTTCGGCTCCTCCTGCGCACAAGTCGCATTGTCGTTCCCCAGGACGAATCCTGGAGGACACTCGCACAGATACGCGCCCACGGTGTTGCGACAGGTGTGAGAACACGGCCGGGACGACGGTTTCTCGCACTCGTCCACGTCCCTGCATGTCACGCCGTCCTCGTTGAGCTCGTAGCCGTTGCGACATGCACAACGGTAGCTGCCCGGCTCGTTCACGCACTTGTGTTGGCAGTCGTGCTCCTCGATGCACTCGTTTATATCTGAGGAAGAAGGTTCAAGTTCAAGCATCGTGGTGAAATTCAATAATTGCTCAGGCCTGGAAATAAGATGTTGTCTGTTATTATTACCAATTGCTCTTTCCAGTTAAGCAACGATTGTTTTTTTCGTTAATTACAATGGTAATTTCTTGAGAGAAATTGATAAATTATAAATAAACACACACTTCTATCGAATTATTTTTATTTCATATTATATAATTCTTTGCTTAATCTGAAATAAAAACATGGTAAGGACCCAATGGAGTAATTAATAAGAACCTCACTAGAAATCTTTAATAAAATCCCAATATCCACGCTACATTACATAACTTACTAGGACCCCATAGTGTTGCTTATTCGGACCTGATAACCAACTGAAGTTAACCTGATTAAAGCCATAAGTTCCTAGTCGGGAATATGACTGTTGTTTTTATCATTACTTTCTTAACCACGACAAAACATTCGCTACTTTGCCCGAACGAGGGTTCTTCTGTTCCAAAGATATATATGTCATTATGAAGGAGACGACCGTTGTTTTCAATGAAAAAAAAGAAACGTAAGCTTCTTCAGCTGACACTCACCAACACACTCCAAATTTTCGTTCCTCTCGAAGCCGTCCTCGCACTTTCGACTCTGCGGATTTTCCGTAATCTCTTCACCGTAATCGTCATTATTGTCGTCGTCATCGTCGTCGTCGTCTTCTTCGTCGTCGTCGTTGTCGCGATCGTTGTCTCCATTTTTATCCTCACCGTCGTAATCCTCTTCGCGCAGGACCTTCGTCACTTTATGTGGATGCGCCTTGTTCACGCACTTGTAGGATCCTACAGTATTCTCGCAATCCAGATCTTCGGCGCAGATCCTCGGTGTGATCTCGCACTCGTTAATATCTGAGGAAAGAAAATAGCCCTCTGTCCGACTGTCGGCCATCGTAAATTTAACGAAATTTTCTATAGCCAACTCTGCGAAACGAAAAAGAGGATCCCAGATATAGTCACAACGGAGAAACCGGCCGGCCGGAATTATAAAACGCTAAATCCTTAATCCCGCGGAACTTCGCGTAATCGCGCGCGATTCAGGGAAGCGTCGATTTAACAGGTTTTACCATGAAAAGAAACTGAAAATGTAGCCGCAGAGACTATCGCGGATATGCGCGGGCTACGCTAAAGCGATCTACTCTTGCGAATCAACGTGAGGCGTTCAATACCCTGACAGGTCCTCCAATTGTCCGTCAGATAAAAACCGTCCGGACAGAGACAAAAGGCGCTCCCAGGCGTGTTCAGGCACAAGTGAGAGCAGTTCGCGTTGTTCAGCGCGCACTCGTCGATGTCCTCGCAGGCGTGATTGTCGGCGGCTAATTTGTACCCAGGAATGTCCGCGCAACTGCACTCGTAGCCACCTTCGAGATTGCGACAAGTGCCTTGGCAAGGACCGTGCCCGTTGTTCGGGAGACACTCGTTGACATCTGAACAGTGTATCGTCACACGTATAGTTCTCGGCCGGGAGCGTCCCGCTCTCTGGTCGAGTCATCTCGTCTCAACTTGGGCAAAATTGCGCCCTCGCGCGTCACCTGATATTTACAATGATATATTTACGCGAACTGAAGCGCGAAGTGGAATTAAACGCGCACCTGCGTATTCCCGACGATGTAAATATGAGTGTCAGAAAAAAAAGGGAAACAAACGAACCCGGGGCATAATGGGAACTCCAAGGTTTAAGCAAGTTTCAAACATATTAAAAATAAATCAATTACTTGCAAATATTCTGACCAAAATATTCTTCGAAGCCACCATAAGAAAAACACAAGTTTTACTGCGAAAGGAGTTTAAAAGAACGAAGTTATTGCTAAATTAATTTCACTATGCTTCCTACGCAAAATGGAACATTTCACAAACTTGTTTATTTCTCCCAATCACTGATTTTTTAAAAGTTTTTAAAGGCGATTCATTAAAACATGCAACATAAAAATCTATTATTGCGCGTTCTATTACTTGTAATTATTTACTAACTACACTTTTCATATAAAATGAACTCTTTTCTTATGAAAATATTACTAACAATCATCATTTAGTGGTAATATTTGATGTTAATTTTCTGAAATATGATAAGAAAAAGTGTATCTTAACATTTACATAATGGCATAATCTTGTTACAGCCCAAAATGTATCAGCTTGTGCAGTACAGAGCCATAGATAGTCGATATTTGCACAAGCATTTAATTAAAATGTACCAATTGCGCAACGCGGTTACGGTTGCGGAGAACACAGAAAACGCATTAAATAATTTATAGAATTGTACAACTAAAAATAATATGACAACTAACACGCGGTGAGATATAGTATGATCTAACAGTAATAACTGCAAAATATTTCATTACGCGGCAGCATCTCTGTAAAAAATGACCGACCATGTCTCACGTTATGCCTCAGGTTTTCCTGACACGCCATCCCGAAGTCCGAGACGTCGACTCGACTTAATGAGTGTCTCTTGTGTACTCAGTGAGTACCCTCTTCTCGCGACACTAACCTTGACAAGTGCGGCCGTCGGTTCCGAGATGAAAACCATGACGACACTCGCAGGAATACGAGCCGAGTTCGTTGCGGCAGATGTCGGCGCACCCCGCTGTGCCTTCGGCACACTCGTCGATGTCTGAAAGGACATTCAGGAGAAGAGGATGGATCGCCGCTCGGCGATGGCACACGTGTTGTTAGTTCTCCGCAATCGCAGTGAAAATTAGTCGACTGTCTTGAAATTGCGCCACAGATACTGTGTGTCACAGCACGCGTGCTACTCTCAACAAGCAGGCTGGGAATATGTGGGAGTGTTCGACGCGTTGGAACCGCGCGTAGATTTGGATTGGATGTTTGGACTCTCTTTGATCGGCTCTTGCGCTTGAAGACCAAAAAAAAATAAGCATCTTTCAGTTGCACATTTATTGTTATTCCATTATAATTGAATTTAGTGACAATTCAGAGACGGGCGTCATCAGTTTCAACACGCCGAGGAGGTCGCGCGTGGCAACTGATTCTCGGGTTACACGCCGATCGGACAATCGTCGAGCTACAATTACGCGCAATACGACTCGCAAACTCTCTACTGTAACTGGGGGCAAAGGCACCAAAAGCAGCAGCAACAACAACGCAAAAAAACAAAAAAAAAAAAGATGGAAATAAAATGAAACCTGCTCCAGCAAATATGGTAAAATGTTCGATAGCAGCTTTTAAATTTGACACCGACTGATAATTCGCCGTACAATATGCGCAATCGGACTCTTAAATAATCCGGTTAGATCTGACGACCGCGGGGATGCGTTCGGACGCAATCTGTGATTTTTGGCATATACTTTGGATTATTTCCAAAGCTCTGTGATTTATCATCTAGCTATCGTGAGTGGTGTTGGGGCATTGCCTTATTAGGCATCCGTATATTAAAAGAAGAAAATGATCCGTGCCGAAACCGATGATGCCGTTATATTAAGGCGCTTTCGGCAGCGCCGACATTGCAGACCGCGCAGAAATCCATTATATGTTCTCGTCCTACGTACAAATGCGCCTGAAAACGGCGGGCAATATTTTCGCGATTGAATCGCATAATTTCGCGCACAATAGATAGCAATATTGGCGCGCGCGTGGCGGGGGAGGGAATGTAGAAAACAGTAAGCACGACAAATCAATAGCGGCGGCGAGCGCGGTGGCGGCGAGGTAGGTTGGCGCTCGAATTTCGGTGAGAATATGAGATAGGAGGGAAATATCAGGTGTCGAGTTTCTCCCGCGAAACGAAACAAAAAGAAAAAAGAAAAGCACACACGGAAGCGCGAGACATACGCGATATATTGATTCTGTATAAGTGCGACGGGAATGGCACGGGGGTGGCGTGTGCGTGCGTGCGTGCGTGCGTGCGTGCGCGTGTGTGTGTGTGTGTGTGTGTGTGGATTACCTATACAGGACGATCCTTCAGCTCGAAATCCATCGAAGCAGGAGCACTTTATACCGGCCGGTGTATCCTCGCACACGTGCTCGCACTCATCTCTATCCTGATCGCAACGTTTCGCTTTATCGATCGCCGGCTCTGGGACAGTAAACGCTCGATAAACAGAGAAACAGACTCTTGTGTGCGGTTGTGTTTATGTCGGCAGAAAAAAATCGCGAGTGAACGCGAACGGGCTCTCAGCGTTCGTTCGGCTGAGAGAAAAAAAAAGAGAAAGAGAGATAGTATGTATGTGTGTATGTGTGTGTGTGTGTGTGTATGCTTTTCTCGTTATAATCGCGTCAAAAGAAAACGAGCGTGGGATAATCGAGTGATTTCCGAGCAGAAGACTTACGGCTCTCCGCCACGCACTTCGGTCGACGGCCAAGCCAGGTGCGGTTGCTGCAAAAGAGTCTGTCGGTCGTCGAGTCCACGAAAACGTAACTATCCGCGCACTTGTATACCGCGACGATGTACCGATTATACGGCGGCAGTACGTTCCTCCTCCTACGAAACGATGCGCCCGATCATTTCGCGTTCCTTTCCTTCGTGCAGCGCGCTAAATTCTAAGAATTGTCGTATCATAAATGTGTCGTATATAACGATCGTACCTAATGAGAGTATACATCTGACAGTAATTAAAAGCCAAACTCGCACAGTTTTGAGCTCAGTCAGAGCGAATAATCTTTTTTTTTTTTTTCTCTCGCGTCGTGTTTCGTAAAACTGTGTCTGAAAATTCCTCGAATTGTCTTAATCTTAAGAGATATGCGACTACAATGACCTAGCGTATCTGGGCTTATGAGCGTGTTCGATCGAGGGGGCCTTGACAGATCTCTTCTTGGGGTTCTTCTTGGTGCAGCTGGTGTCTAATTGAGACACCACTGTCTCATTTAATCTTGTCGCGCCAGGCACATTCGACAGGGGCTGCTCCTCTTGGCTCGCCTTCCTCCTCTTCGCCCCGTTCCTCCTGCGCTCCCTCGTTCGTCTGCCTTTCTTCGACGCGACTCCTCTGTGATGTCCCTTCTTTTGCGATTCATCCTTCGACTGCGAGCGGTCCTGCCCGACGTCCTGGTGCTCGCTCCCTTGAAGCTTGTACTCCGGGGATTCGCTCTCTTGGGGCATGCTCTCTTGGGATACGCTCTCACGAGCCGGCTCGTCGCCGGCGTACATGTCTGGACGCAAAATGTGTCGGAATGTATCTGCGCAAGCGAATACAATGGAAAGCGTCAGCCAGGCGGTTTCTTACTTTGCGAAGTAATAGTCGGCGAAATGACGGTTGGATCGCCGCACAGTGGGGCCAAATGAAATTTCATGTCTCAAAAGAGGCTGCAGCCTCAAAATTTTAATCGATGCTTCCTCTTTTTTAATGGAAGCTGGGGAAATTTAGAGCAACTTTCTCGGATTTTTGTCATTTGCTTCCGACTTTTTCTAAATCAGACATCAAAAAGATAGATTTAAAAATGTCTTTCAACCAAATACATAATAGATGACTCATTTTCGATCTCTTTTAATTTAACATCAGGTACAGATGTTGATATTGAGATTAAATATTCAAACTCCAATTATAAACTTGAACAAAGTCATACAGACCCCTGACATTTACCTTAATTTAATAAACGAGATTAATTGAATTAATACCTAATTTTAGTAAATGAAAACTATTGAATTAAATGAACCTAGATTATTATTATTATATATTATTAAATTTTTTACTAATTATTGTTCTTGAAGTAACAAGTTTTGAGCTTGTTTGTATCTATCTTAAAATTGTCCGATTGAGAAAATTTCAAAAGACAAAACTCTAGCTCGACAAAATTGTTTGAAATTTTATCAACATTTATTAAAAAGAAATCCAAAACAATTAGTTATTAACTTTAAAACTCTGAATATCAAAAGGCTATATAAACTTTAAGCATTTGTCCAGCGTGGTTTTATTTGCTCTTAATTCCCGGAGAGATGCTCGAAAAATTCGATTTTTTTTCTTATAATCCCTTATAGAAATATCATACTAAGAATCATTGATAATTACTTATTTTCAGTATTAAAAATACTGGATAATAAGTAATTATCAATGATTCTTAGTATGATATTTCTATAAGGGATCTTTTATTTAAAAATCTTTAATCATTTTTATATAGATTTTTTTTATTAATATAGAGGACACTGAGGAATATGAATCTATCGATGTCTACGCGATTCAATGAAATTGAATAAAATTACAGTGAGAAAACGAATGTTTTTAAGGACGGTAACGTTTAAAAAGTTGATCCGAATTTGAAGGTTAAGCTCGAACGTTCGCGCTCGTCATAACGCGGAATCATCAGTCGCGTGCGCGCGCAGAAGCACGTACAAATAAAATATTCACTTCGCAATTATAAATAAAGGAATTTTAATTAAATCGCCGACACTCGTGTGCGCTCATCAAATGAACTTTAAATCGGATATTCGCTTTGCAGCGAGCGCAAAAATGTTTCCAGAGATATTCGAGCGTAATGTTAGCGCGAGGCGTACGCGCGCGCACGTGAGGATTAATCTCATCAGATATACACGGTAGTCCGATGTGTGGGACAGGTACGTCTTTTGCCGTGCGGACGAGATTGCCATCAGATAATGAATCTTTTACGCGCGTTCCCGTACCAGCCGGATGACGCATGAAGCCCCGGAACGGGGTTACTGTACACGCGTGTTCCCGCGCGCGCATTAGTGCGCCGGAATTAGTTTGCATAGAGGTGCACCACGCGTCGTTCCTCTTCAACAGCCTGATACTGCCTCGCATGGCAGTTGCCATCGGGAGTCACCATATTCCCGAATTATTGTCAATCATTCGTCGGGGCGAGGTGACGGGGCTGTCGACCCGACGACGGAGTCTCGCCCCTCGGATATCTCTTTTTTTTCAGGCTGTTGCGTCCGCTCCTCGCCTCCCCTCGGTCGTTTTTCAATTCCTTCTTTTAATATCTCGCGCGCAAGATTCCCTCTTCTTTTTTTTTCTAACGACTTCCAGGCATCCGCGCGGAATAATTGAGTAGAGACAAGCTTGCAGGCGTGCAAGCTCACCTCGTTCTCCGTTTCACCGGATGCGCCGGATGGCCTCCTGCACGGGACTAAATTCAAAGAGAGAGAGAGAGAGAGAGAGAGAGAGAGAGGGAGGGAGAGAGAACGTGTGTGTGCATACGTACGCGTGCAACGTCCGCGGTGGTGTATGACTTGGCGGCTTATCTGCATCGAGGCGAATGCGAGCTATGCCATGTCGGCGAATTACGTGCCGCCGATAGCACGCGCGATGGAACGAGCCGCGTTCCTGAAGCACCGAAACGCCACTCCGCGAATTTTCCCGTTCCCTCTTCCCGCTACCCCCTTAGGGAATCCTGGCCATCGGCGGTGGCGTCAGGTTGGAATAACGAGGGGAGATGACCGGCCCGGCCGTTTACGATCAACAGAGCGTCGCGCTTATAAACGCCGGTGAGATAAGCGGTATTCCAATTTGGCGGCGTGGTGTCGCGCGCGACGATATCGCGGCGGTTCGTGTTTACGAAAATGTGCGGATGCACGCGCACGGGAACGGGTGAAATCCGATGGTTTGATAATGCGGAGGGAATAAGGGGGGGGGGTGTGCGTCCGGGATGGGGTGGAAGGGAGAAAGGGTTACATTCGCGTCGCTCTCCTCCGTCTCTCCCTCTCTTGATTAAGCGGAAAGTTCGGTCTATCGACTCTCTCAGGGCTTCGAAAGGAAACGCGAAGAATGGGAGAGGACACCCTATATATTCCACAAGCCGGGAACAGTGCCAACCTCCGGCTTAAGATATGCCGATAACTTGAGCATCGGTGAAAATTGAATCCCACGGCGGAGTCGTGTTTCCATAAATCATAGGGAACGGCCGTCCTGGGTGAATTGTTCTTCGAAACTTTCCGGCACTTTCTGACGTATCGTTTATAAAACCGCGATTTTAAATATAATCCCGAGCCCGAGAGAGAGAGAAAGAGAAAGAGAGAGAGAGAGAGAGAGAGAGAGAGAGAGAGAGAGAGAGAGGGAGAAAGAGCGTCGATGGGAGATTAACGCGACGTCTCTCGCGACACGATCGAACGGTCGCAGATTGCATTTTGCGATGGCGTACTTTTTTCTTTCCCGCCCCTCTGCCCAATTTCTCCCCGATAATTACTCGCGTCATGGCGCGGTAACGTAACGTTTTTCGATACGTGAAATGCCATGTACACGCACACACGTATGCGGGGGTCAAATCCTATTTCTGGCGCGCGCGAGATAAGATCGCGAAAGAGCGACGAATGAGCTCTCTCTCTCTCTCTCTCTCTCTCTCTCTCTCGCTCTCCCGTCAGTTAACCCCCGTCCGTCGATCGATACCTCGATTGTCGATTGTGCGAGCGAACGGTGGCTCGCATTACAGCATTAAGAGCGGGTTCGGTGTGTCCCTGGGTCCCTTTATTTCGTCAGACCCGACGTCTCGCGGTAAACGGATTTGTTCGTCAGTCCGTCGAACACGCGCGTCGAGGCTTCAGCCGCCAGGCACGAGGAGTTAGGCTCCCTTTCATGCAGATAATTGACTTACGTCGATCAGGTCGGAATAATGCCGCGCCTAGTAGACTCGTGTCAATTCGCGAAGCGACATTATGCGCCACGCGACATGATACGCGCAAATCGCACGTTTCGCTTGAATTTTCATTTAATTAATACCAAGAGTAATTCTCCAAGAGAGAGAGAGAGAGAGAGAGAGAGAGAGAGAGAGAGAGAGAGAGAGAGAGAGTTAGGGGAAGAGGAGATTTTATTAGCGCGCGAATACCAGAATTCATACGCGATCGCGAATTGAAAACGATATCATCGAGAGAGAAATAGGGAGTAGGGGGGAGAAAAAAAGAGGAATATTCATGAAAAAGGGATTGATTCGAGTAATAAAATACTTTTCATCGTACCACTACGAACAGATCGTAATTTCGCGTCGTTATATCGCGAACACACACGGTTCGTATATCGCGTCTGTCGGGACAGCTTGGTTACAGCATTTGGGTCGGCATTACAAGCAATCGTCGAGATCGCGATAAGTCGCTCGTAGCCGAAGAAGATGACGAATGCATACCGGGCACGGGGGAACGTCAATTGAATCGCAACGACGAGTGACGCACGATTACAGAGATCGACGTGGAATCGCGATCGCGGGGCTAACTAATCTGACAAGGAGGAAGTACGGGCCCGGGATGCTTCATGAATGCACTCGTTTGTGAGAATGTTACTTGCACAGATATTATCGTGATCGTCGGGCCTCGTGCAAAAGGTAAACGTACCCGATTCTCCCGTACACGCACCTAATTCTGGACACTCTCATCGTTTTGGTCTCCAAACACGCACGTGTATAAACTTTCAATATATAATATATGTATATATCCAGTGCATATATACTGAAAGAAAAAGACATTTAAGAAATAAAGACTGTTTATTCGCTCGGTACTAGTAATATATTTATACTTGCAAGGGTAAACATAGGAAAGAAGAAGTAGGAATAAGTAAGAATAGGTAACAGATTTTAATAAAAGAAAGGTGACGGATACCAAATAAGGTGTGCAATGTAATAGGTGCAATGTAAGTAGGTTACAGAGAAAGTATGTAATAGAGTAAAATTGGAAGGAATCATATAGTCATAAGGTTAAGTGTTAAAGTAAAAGGTAAAGGTTAAAAGTTGAATGTGTAAGGATATAAAAAAACTAAGGCAAAGTTGTGTGGGATAAGATAGTAATGAGGATAAGAGGTAATGTAACTGTAGGGAGTAGGTATGCGGATGAGTGAATGAGGTAGAAAAATTATAAACCAAGTCCCTTCCTGATAATGTAAGCTGAAGTGAATATCTATCTATCTATCTATCTATCTATCTATCTATCTATCTATCTACTTGCACGCAATCTATACGTGTACATGTATTCATACGTACACTCGGAAAACACGAAGTCTGGATGCAACTTGCGAAGCCAGGTGGAACGCTTCCCTTTCCAAGCGTCTCTCTCCGTTCCCTTTCAGTCTTGATCATTCGGTTGGGCGTCAACGGAAGAAAAGCTCGAACCATATTGATGTTTTTCCTCCTGTGTTTACAAAGCGTCAGATCAAAGGACATTGCTTTGATTTGGCAGTGCGAGCGTCGCGGCTTAGGCGCTTGCTTAGGCTCGCGCTTTGTAAACACAGGAGAAAAACATCAATATGGTTCGAGCTTTCCTCTTATTGACGCCCCATCGGACGATCACGACTGAAGGGAAAGCGTTCCCCCCGCAAATGCATGCCAGACTTTATGTTCCCCGAGTGTGCTGTCGCCTGGAGCACACTTTTGATGAACATTTATCCGTTCTCTCGGGAGCTTTTCCAAAATTTTGAAAACAATTTTCAAATTTCCGACGGCTGGTAGTGTCGCTGGCAGGGCCGCGTCTTCGTGCATGTGCGACAGAGCCTCCCGTGCATATAAGAAGTCTGTTCTTTTTAGCTAAACTGTCGTAAGTTAAAGTGAGACAAATATATCTTGTTTTACTCTAATGCATCGGTTCAGGCAGTTTAGCTAAAAAGAACAGACCTAGCGATGTGTCAACTCATGCGCGTAACAGTGACACTTGTAGTCACACATCCTTGGATGCACGTGCACAACATGGATGAGCGGTTTTCTAACCTAACTTAGATTTTCTGTTCCCTCAGGAGCTTTCACAAAATTTTGAAAAAAAATTTCAAATTTCCGGAAATCGCTCTCCGCAGGTCACCAACATAATGTTGGTAACAGGATCGTTTTTTCGTGCATTTTTCAGTTTTCCATGAAAGCAATGGTGTTTATTCTATTTTAATAAAAAAATAACTGAATTTTATTAAAATTTTTTTTTTATAAAAAAGTGAATACGTTATTAGAGCCCACAGAATAAATATTTTTTTATTTTTTAAACTTTTTCCTCTCACAGTGTATACGGAGGCCACCTGACGTTTGATTCGAAAATATCTCTGTCGTTTTTTTAATTAGAGGGAAAAGTTTAAGGATTAAATTGTGTTGTGGTTGGCTGACCGCAATTTTATCCCTTTTTCAACACACAATTTACCCAGCAAATACCAAATAACAGTAAAATAACATCAATGTTACAATTTTCCATGCAACAATATAACTGTTATATAACGCCCGTATTAATTCTTTATATATTTTCCTTTATAATATACAAAACAGAGATATTCCAGAATTTAACGTCAGGCCACTCATCCTGTATACATACATATTTTATGTTGAAAGATGAAATATTAATGTTTAAGGACCAAACCGACAAGAATGTCCAGGATCAGATACGTGTCTGGTACTTTTATCTCACACAGCCACGGAGAAACGGTGGCGCGACGAATCGAAGAGAGAAGCGCGACAAATTAGGCGGCGTGCGATCGCGTACGCACACCGGATGGATTAGACGCGGCGTGTTCTCGTCCGACCGCGAGTAATTCCTCTAACGAGGTAACGCACAGGCGAAGGTAACACACTGGCGAAGCGAGTGAAAATAGAGATGCCATACTCACTCTTAAGTCCACTCATATCCACACACTGGGGCGTGGGGTGATCCCAAGTGTCGCCGATGCAAGTCGCCACTTTGTTACCTCTGAGCCAAAGTCCTTCGTTGCAGGAGAACATAACGTGCAACACGCCGTCCGCGAAGTACTTCAATGTCATTCTGCCGAATTCTGGCGGCTTTGGATTTTTGCACGTCAGGAGAACTTCTGAAAATGCGAAGAGAAACGCTTTACTGCGTGTCGCGGGAAAAGTCGCGCGAAAATGACGACTCGACGGCACCGTCGTCGCGCATCCTCGTCGAGAGTTCCGGATAAATGAGATCGCGCTTTCATTTTCAATTATGCCGGTCTTAAAACCACGCCGTGACACGCGCACCGAGGTTTGCGGGGCGCGCGTTTACACTTCCGGCAATAAGTAGCAGCGCAGACAAAACGAAAAAGGACACGTGTCAAGCACATGGGAGAGATCTTGGTGGTCGCGTCGTAAGCACCGTGAGAGACGTGAGGATTAAAATTGAATAATTCCACGGTGACGTAATATACGGCCGCGCCGTGACGGCCAGTGTGCGCGCGCTTACGCCGCAAAAATTTCAGCTGTACGACCACCGGGCGCGATGGTGATGCGATGGTCGTCAACGGGGCGAACGTGGCTGCTGCAAAATGAATCTCTTTTGCGTCTGTCGGAGCGTGAGTCGCGAAAACCAAATAACTTTTGTTTCGCTCCTACAAAGTGGCTGAAAGCTACCAAAAAATACACAGGAGAGAAAAACGCGACGGAGAAAAAGTGAGGGAGCCAGGCAGGCAGGCGGGCGGGCAGGCAGAGAGAGAGAGAGAGAGAGAGAGAGAGAGAGAGAGAGAGAGAGAGAGAGAGAGAGAGAGAGAGAGAGAGAGAGAAAGAAAGAGAGAGAAAGAGAAAGAGCAACGACCCTTTCAGCGAATTCGATTTTTCTTTGGCGGAGATTTTCAATTTTGTGTTTACGTGCATGTTAATTGCACATATTGATATAAATATTGGACGTCGCGTAACAAAGGGGGGAATTTTGGTTTCGTGGGTTGCGAAATGATCCGACAAAGGCTTTGTTCGTCTGCGTTTTAATGAAAATTTTGTTGGAAGCTTATTGGGCGCAAAATACCGTGTTGCGAATCGAAATTTATCGCGCGCAGACGGAGAGAGAGAGAGAGAGAGAGAGAAAGAGAAGAATTGGCCCGGCAGAGTGCGCGCGGCAAGGGTCCTCCGGCCGTGAAAAATATCCCTCGGGCCGGCCCCTCGAAGAGCCGCGGACGGCGTCTCCGACGTGAAGTCTATCGGCCGGCGATAAAACGCCCCGGCAAAACTTCTCCGTTGCGGTTTCACTTGTCTCGCCGGTGTTACAAAGTGCATCGTAAATCGTCCGCGAACATACCGCCGACGCACTGCGCTTCACGCGTTGCGGCCGCGTCGAAATTCTAATTTTCTCCGGCGGTAAAAACTTGAGCTACCCTATTTACTTACCGCCCCTACTACAAGACAAATGCCGCGGTCCCTACTAATAGGACAGCATGAATTTTTCACGCGCGAAAACTTACACGGAAAAGGGGCGACCGAGTCATGATGAATTTGTGTCTCGCGTTTGCTCAAACGACGCACGTCGAGTCACGAATCGAAGCATAAATCGGACACTTAATTAAATATAGAGGGCAAAGCAATGCCCTCGAGTGGTGCGCTAAAATATTCAGAGCGCAATATTCGTCTCTCCCCCTCGGATCTCGCCCGGACGTGTTAAAGTGCGCGAAATTCAGCGCTGTCGAAACGCCGACTTCGCATGGCCGCAAGACGTGACGCGAGGCTTTCCGTGGGATTAATGAAGAATTAAGCGCTTAATTAAAGTAACTCGCGGGTCCCAATTTATGTAATTGACTAGCGGCGCGCGTGAGTCATGGCTCGCCTCTCGCGCATGGGAATGGGAATTATACCAGTCACTGGAGATTATTGGATTACTTCCGATTTGCATAGATCGGTAAATCAAGATTACGAGGTAAGCAAACTCGTCGAAGCGAGTCGACGAGTGTCCTTCCTTATGTGGGAACGGCGGAACTTTAAGTTCCAGCGAATTCACGCGTAATACTCGCGCGATATCGATACGCGATACGTGGTGCGAAAAGAGATGTGCAGAGCGTGCAAATTAATTGACTATAATTACGCAAGAATGATCCGACCCACTGAATTGTAATTTTCGAGCTTTTGTTTCGCTTACCAATGCATAATCCATACGTCTTCCTATCAAGTTAATTCAGTGCTTTAAGGTTAAATAGAATCAAAAGAGATTGATGTGGGTTTCAGAGTATGAAAAGTAGATGTTGAACGAAATAGTGGCGCTGAAAATAGGATCAAAATTTCAACTCGGGTATCTTGAAGGAATTGAGCCTTTGTTTATGTCAACACGTTCGAAATATTCATCATCATTTTCTAGTTTGCTTTTCTGCACCTATCAGGCAGAGCTGACGAATGCCCTCTCGGAAAAAGGCGGTGACTTCAAGTCGATGAAATCGCCGATGCATTTTTCAACCTCTCCCACGCTTTTAAAGTGTATATCAGTCAGGTGGTGTCGGAGAGATCGGAATGGATGGTGATTCGAGGGAACTAGGTCCGGTGAATAAACCGTATGAGGGAGTACTTCTCAGCTCAACGAATAAGTAGTGTTCTTTGTTCCTTTTACAACGTGTGGCCGAGTGTTCTTTATCGGTAAGACACAAATCATCACTTCAAAAATTTTGGTGTCACTTTTTTACAGATTTTATGTGTTACAGCATCTTTTCCCAAAGTTGAGCAAATCATATTTGCAGCCTCAGCAGCATTGTTTTTCAATTGGAAAGCAAAATAGTGCAATGTCTGATATGCTGCTTGTTGCCATTATGCTCAGTACTGATTTGCGAAGTTATGTTATCAGTTTCGCCAAGTTATACAGCGCATTTGAAACCTTAAAGTTGGCACTTCGAAAAAATTGTTTCCACAAAATGACGCAAAGATATTTGAAATTATGACTGATTAAAAGTAAAAGCACCGAATTAATTTGCGCACCTTAGTACATAACAAAAAAAAAATCCAAGCCTTATGGGCTTACGTCTCTGAAATTAATCAGAAAACAGTTTCTACTTTCTACTAGTTGCGTCTTTTTTACTCATTTTTTTAAGAACTAAGCTTGCGGATGAATACTCTTAATGAGAGAAAAAAATTGGCCACGCTCGACTTGTTGAACGATCACGCAGAGCCGAAGAGTGCTGTCTGCACTTTTCGAATCATGTATCAGATTTTCATCCTTTGCTTCTCTCGGGACGCGCTTCATGCGGCTCGAATCATTCTCGAATAATTACGGTCGATTGTGATCTGAATCAATACACAGTGATTCTTGACTCTCGAGTCGACAGACGCAATTTCAGGACGAAGAGCGTTCGGCTGCAGCCCTCAGCGTCAATTCCCTTCTTTCGACCACTACCACCAGCAACGCGGCGCTTTTTCGCCCTTTCGTTCACGAGACGAGACCGATCGCTGCGAATTACCGGCAGCGGCATGTATCGACCTCGTCGGCCTGTACATACAGAGGAGCTTCTTTCGAGTGGTTCTCTTGGTACGCGTATGTGCAAACGACGCGCGATCAATGATCTCGCCTCCTCCGGTGTCAACGACTTTGACAGCGCGCCGCACGATGCAAGGGACGGTTAGTCACGCGCGTCCATTAAGAAGACCCCTCACGATCGAAATCGCAGATTCGACGTGTCTCCCTTAACGATATCCACGGCGTAGCGATCCCACCCACTGTTCGCCTCGTCATGCTGCCCGAACACAATCGTCGTTGCGGATGTCGCGAGCGAAAGAAAGGCCCATCGAGACGTTCCGGCGCGGAGAGACGCCCCGGATACGTTTAAATGGAGAATCGCCGGCATTTAGCCCGGTCGACTCGCTCCTGTCGAAAACTCACTCTCTCTTTCTCCTTCAGAAAGATAAGAGATAAAAATCTGATGCATGATTCAAAAAGTGCAGCTAGCACTGAGGTTCTTCGCGATCGTTTAGGAAGTCGAGCGCAGTCAATTTTCTTCCGTCTTTCAGAGTATTCATTGAGACAAGCTCAGTCTTAAAAAATAGAAAGACGCCATTAAGAAAGACGCCACTAAGAAAGACGCTACTAGGAGAAAATAGAATTTCTCTGATTAATTTTTTTCTGATTAATTTCAGGTGTAAGTCCATAAGGCTTGGATTCTTTTTGTCTTATGTATTACGATGTGCATGTCATGTCTCTCTCTCTCTCTCTCTCTCTCTCTCTCTCTCTCTCTCTCTCTCAGATCGG